TTTGAAAAGTTTCTGGTTTCGCATACAGAAGGCGTTGGTTATAGAAAACATATCACTTTGCTGAACTACTATAAACTTTCTATGAACACGTGCACAGTTTCAAGCTGATTTGGAAATTTCTTTCCTCCTTACAGCGGCTTTTAGTAGCGGTACTTCGTGTTCTCTTAGAAAACGGAGAAACCTGTAAAGTGTGCACTGGTTAAATACTTCTATATAAAAGGATTGGGATGAAAATACCGATATGGCAACTGTATTAGGAAGTGATACTCCTTCACGATGGGATTTAAGTGGAATACTTAAACGTAGTCAAGCACATATCCACAAAAAGATGCAGACATGCCCGAAAACTACTACAAATATTGTTATTTCGGCTCTGTGCCTACGGCCTGACCGTTGAGATTACGTTCCCTATCTACAGCTCCGGAGTCAGTATGTGTGCGTCTCTAGTCCCCCTTACCTTCGTCCTCCTCCCCTTTCTGTACGCCCATGCTCCTTGGAGCGATGCGCGCGCTGGCTAGTGGCGAGCGATTCCCCGCTCGCCCTTCAGTACGCTTTTATCTATCGCACGGATAGGGTGTGTGCGTGTGCGTATGTGTAACGTTCGAGAGAATAATAGTATAAATGCAAAGGTAAGAGAACAAAAACCTTAGTTTGACAATTTAGTGTAGATGGCTACCATTTGATATAAAATTGTCACGGTCTCGGATCACTCGGTCCAGACGTGAGACTCCCTTCTAATGCATCTTGGGCAAATTCGCTAGAGCATAATATGGGCACTTGTGTGCAAGCGCACAATGCCCATTCATAGGAAAATTGAAGGGAGTCCTGCAGCCGGATCCATCTACACAATGTTTCGGCCCGACCGGCCCGTCAAGTCGGCCCGACCAGCTGCAGACTTCGGCCCGACCGGCTGCAGACTTCGGCCCGACCGGCCGCTAAATTCGGCCCGACCGGCTGCGAATTTTGGCCCGACCGGCCGCTACGTTCGGTCCGACCGGCTGCAAATTTTGGCCCGACCGGCTGCAGAATTTGGCCCGAACGGCTGCAGATTTCGGCCCGACCGGCTGCATTTTTGGCCCGACCGACTAACTAAGTATAGCACATCTGCTTCCAGATGGCGATGGCAACCAATTTTGTTACTCTGGGTGAACTCTGGTCCAGCCACGTTGAAATGGAGGAAGAAGATGAAAACCTACCGAAATATTAAATTGAGGCTTCTCGACTGGAACCTCTGTAGAGCATTGATCATGAGCCCACGGCAGGTAGCGTGTCAGTTACGAGGATCTATGGCTCAAGCGGAGCTCTTTAATAAGGCGGTGGAACCACTTAAACATACTATGCGTTCCAGAGAGCTGACGTCGGAGGCCCTTTCAACGGACGGGGAGTCTAATTATACGTCCCGAAGTAAAAGGAGACGGTGTCAATCGTCCAGCTCAGACGACGAGTACCCGGTCAGAACCGAGAAACCAATGAAGAGGAGGCGGCGAGTATTGTCTTCGAGCTCGGAGGAGGATGTCAATGAGACAAGGCTACGCCGCGTGGAAAGCATGGTCGAGAATCTTTACCACTTGGTCTCAGGAAATAAAGAGAACGATGGCAGCGTCATGAATTCGACGTGGCAAGCTCCAACTCCTACAGGTGAAGAGCTGTATGACGCCGACAGTATTGGCACATGTGGCAGCGTAAACGACTGGGACACGTTTTCCCCTGTCACTAGGGAAATCGAGCCTACAGTCCCTAGGGCGGACCCAGTAATCGAGACACAGGGCATGAAATGCCAGCGTTTTGGGGAAGAGACATGGAACAAGATTCGTTACGTGGACGCTCAGAAAAAACTCCACGCATCACCAGTCTTCAGTACTCTGAAGGTTAACTCATCCTTGTACAACAATGGACATGCAAGCCCAATGACAGATATGTTATCCAAAAGTGACCTGGCCTTCGGGACTATCTCACACGGTCTACTGAAGCAACGGAGAATCATACATGAGGCTCTGAAGGAGGCGGGGAACAAACACCCGGAAGCGGCAGACACTTTGAAAAAAGTTTTTGCTGCTAACAGTGAATACAAGACCATCTCGGACGACCTGCTGCAGTTCGTTTGCGGAAAAAGGGCGGAAATCATCGAAAGTCGCAGGAAACTATACGAGCCTAAAAGTAGTTACTATAGGTCCATCGTCAATGAGATTCCTCCGTCAGGTACGCACTTGTGGGATGAAGAGCAGCTGAAAGATGTGGTTAAAATGCATGGAGTGACGAAAATTGCTCCTGTCCGCTGGCAGATTAATTTGGGAAAAGTCGCACTGAGACAGAAGGTGCCTCAAGGAACTTCTCATGAAAAGTATCTGCGTCAAGGTTCATTTAAAAAAATGAAGAAGGCAAAGTTTAAGCATTCGCGTAAGCCGGGGGCGAAAAGTCATACCAAGCTAGCTCGTAAGGAGCAACCACCTTTAGATAAAAGGCGGAGTTTTTGACAGTTTTCAGGCAGGACAACTCGCCAAATATGTCTCTGCTTGGAAAAGTATGGGAGCCTCACAATCGATTCTCAGTATCCTGAAAGGCTACGTGATCCCTTTCTCAATAAAGCCACCAATAACAGTACTATCCCAACCGATACTAAACAAATTCGAGACACCAGCATCCACACAAATGGATCGAGAAATACAAAACCTCATAAATCAAAAGGTGGTAGTAAAACTGCAAACAAAAACAGGTTTCTTATCAAAGATGTTTTTGACGCCGAAATCGGGGGGCTTGTGGAGACCAGTGTTCAATCTAAAAAGATTGAACAGCTTCATCACGCCCAAGAAGTTCCGCCTTATGAACCATCGCAAACTGCCATTATTTCTCCAGGAAAGAGATTATATGGTAAAAGTCGACCTTTCTCAAGCATATTTCCATTTGCCAATAAAGCAAAAGCATTGGCGTTATCTGGGACTTTATTACCGGCAAAACATCTACGCTATGACAGCACTACCATTTGGCCTAAGCTCCGCTCCACAGGTGTTTGCAAAAGTTACGAACTGGGTGGCGAGCTACTTGAGGAAACAAAACATTCGAGTAATGGTCTATTTGGACGATTTTTTGATCGCAAACCAGAATCCAGAAGAACTAAAGCGAGAGGTATCCACCCTGATAGATACTCTCATAAAGCTGGGTTTCTGCATCAACCTGGAGAAGTCCGAAATAAGACCTACACAGAAATTGGCATATCTAGGTATTATGTGGAACACCATAAGAAATCAAAAGAGTTTACCGGAGGACAAAATCCACCGTCTGCAAACATCAATCCAAGCTGGAATCAAGAGCAAGACTTGGAGCTGGAAGCAGGTAAAGGCACTGCTAGGGAGAATGGAATTTGCCTCGTTTGTTATCCCATTGGGTCGACTACATTGCAGAAAGATACAAAGAGCAGTCAATCGGATGTCAGAAAACCAAACAAAGAAACTGTTCAATATAGACCTGGACGTATTGCGAGAGCTAAGATGGTGGGAGAAAAACTTAAAAGGGTCATCCATAATCTGCATGAAAGAACCGGAAGTTCATATAATAACCGATGCCTCAAACACGGGCTGGGGAGCCCAAGTAGGAGACACTTTGAGGAAAGGAAACTGGACAGAGCAGCAGGAAAAGTGGCATATCAACAAAAAAAAGAAATGTTCGTGATCTACTTAGCGCTAAGAAACCACCTAGATCGATTGGCAAACAAAACACTGTTAATTCAGACGGACAACAGGACGGTGGTTTCCTACTTGAGAAATCAAGGAGGAATCAAGTCGGTCACGCTTTTGGCATTGACCAGGAAGATCCTGGAGCTGGCACATCAATACAGTATGTCTCTGAGAATAGAACATATTCCAGGAAACTACAATATTGTGACCGACCACCTATCCAGAGGAAAGGATCTGCCAGACTGGCACTTATCAAGGATAGCTCAGAAGAGGATCTTCGAAAAGTGGGGAACCCCTTGCATCGACCTATTTGCGACTCCAGAATCAGCCGTCGTTACAAGATTTGTAACGCCATTTCCATGCAAGGAGGCAGAATTCGTCAACGCATTTACAAGAACGTGGGAGTACAAGCTAGCGTGGATATTCCCTCCTCCACCCCTAATACCAAGAGTTCTCCAACACCTCAACTATTGTCAGGGAGTTTTCATAATGATAGTCCCCAGGTGGGAAAGGGTGTTCTGGCGGCCCCTGCTGAAGAGACGTGCCATCGACCACCCGTTCACCATTCGGAATCTGAAGGCTCACCTGGAAGATCTTCAAACCAACCAGCCTCCTCCAAAGGTAATGGATTTACACCTGGAGGCATGGAAGATACGGGGTGGTCCGATATAGCGAATCACTGGTCAAAGGATGAAAGGAGAATCTTAGAAACATCCTGGCGCAAGTCAACTCTCAAAACGTATGCCGTTGCATGGAAAAGTTGGCAATCGTGGGCGAAGAAAAGAAGAGTTTCAGTTAAAAATCCAAACCCCACGCAGGTGGCTCAATACCTCTGCTTCCTACACAACACAAGAAAATTGGCGCTTAGAACGATCCTATTACATAAATCCACCATTGCGACATTCTCCAATCCACTACATAGTGAAGGAGTTTCCAGTAGCCCAACAGTGAAACAGGTAATTAGAGGTATTGCAAATGCAAATCCTCCAGCAACTAGGCCAAAGATTTGGAACATCGATAAACTTCTATCTTGGATTAATGATAACCATCCAGATACGAATAGTATCTTTCAAGTGGCCCGGCATCTATCGCTGCTTTTGCTGCTATCATCGGGAAGGAGAGTCCATGACTTGACACTCCTTCGAATAGATTCTGGTTTCTTTGAACAAACCGAAGAATACATAATTTTCTGGCCACAACATGGATCTAAGACAGACAAGCATAACTACGTCCAGTCAGGCTGGAAACTCCTCAAAAATCGAGAATGCATCTGGGATCTAGTACACTGGACAACCATATATCTAGAAATATCAGAAAAGAGAAGGAACCTCAACTATTCGTCACAACTCGTGGGAAGATAGTACCGGCATCTCGGTCAGTGACAGCAGGATGGGTCCGCACAGCGTTGAAATCGGCAGGTATAGAAGGAGGAGCCGGCAGTACCCGCTCGGCAGTGGCAACATCCCGCTTCAATGATAACATGCCATTGGATGAGGTTTTGCAGAAAGGAAATTGGCGGGGATCAAGCAATTTCTTCAAACACTACTATAAAAATATCGATAAGGATTTGGTACCTGACAACAGCAACAGAAGACTTATTTCGGATAAATTTGTCCCTATATAAGTATTATCATGGCTGTGAGCCAAGAATGACTGTTACTTTTCTTTTATGAACTGTTAGAGTTATCATACTATAACCATGTCACAGTACGCTTTCTAACACCGTGGCGCGCCGGCAGATTGTAAACACTTCTCAACGGTCAGGCCGTAGGCACAGAGCCGAAATAGAACAATTTTCCCCCTGAAGGGAAGAAAATTGATATTTCGGGTCTTGCCATAGGCCTGACCTAGGTAACGCCTTGCCGGCGCAAGAGTACTGAAGGGCGAGCGGGGAATCGCTCGCCACTAGCCAGCGCGCGCATCGCTCGCCACTAGCCAGCGCGCGCATCGCTCCAAGGAGCATGGGCGTACAGAAAGGGGAGGAGGACGAAGGTAAGGGGGACTAGAGACGCACACATACTGACTCCGGAGCTGTAGATAGGGAACGTAATCTCAACGGTCAGGCCTATGGCAAGACCCGAAATATCAATTTTCTTCCCTTCAGGGGGAAAATTGTTCTATTTATCGACCATATATTATTAGATAATAAACAAATGACTACGTATATGAGGCTGAGGGTATCTCAGACGAACTTGTGTGTTATATTTGGAAAATACAGAATGGAAGAAATTCTTCAATAATGTTTTGAATTGCTTGAATAGCCATCTTATTCGACAGATATGGCATCTTATACCTCTCATTTGTTTTCATGCGTTAAGAAGTCCCAGTGAAGTAGCTAGCAAAGCAAAGTGACGCAAAAGTCCATTTTTTACAGTAAAATCATTCCAGAGGGGATATAAATTAAATCACTCGAAAGAATGTATTCAATGGACATTATATTGAAGAATACATGTACTTTCAGATAACAGCTAATCTTGTTTCATGTAGCGTTCTAGAAGGTGGTCATACCAAATTAGGTGCTAGCCTTGAAAGGAATAATTTATGTCAGCCTTCGACTTTATCAGCTCGACGATTTACAAAAATATGTGACTGTTAAATGACAAGTTGTTCATAAACATCTCAGACTTTAGGACTTGACCCAACAAGTTAACCAAACAAAACTTAAGCCTCATGTACGAGTATTGTATTGCATGCAGCATTCTGCAAAATTTTGAGCTTATCACGAATCACTTGAAACTTACACTGTATAAATTTGCTCTATAAGATGCTCAAAGGACGTTATAGTATTAGTATTACATAACAACTACGCTCCAAAGATTTAAGATAACCTTAACTATTTTTCGTTGTTTCATTTACACAGGGGATTATATACATTCCCATGAGCAGTTCATATTGAGTCCAATGGGTACGGTTCTTATAGAAGGCGAATTCAGTTATTAACACGCGAAATCCTCTTAAATCCACGAGGCATTTCATAAAACGGACCCCCCACTGCACAATACAATTCCCATAATCAGATAAAGGGATATAAATTCGCGTCACGATCTCTTGAGAATTAATAATTATAATACCCCAAAATACGGAGTAAAGCTGAACAACGGTTTATAGCCTGGTATTAGTCGACAAGTCATTATGAATATATTGTTAATTATGCTGTAAGAAAGCCTTTGCTATGTGGAGGATAATTAGTATATACATGGTGGCAGCACCTTGTTCTGAAGTTCATGTACAGGGTATTCAAAAAGTACCTAGGCAAACTTTGGTCAGGTTTATTGGAAATGTTGAATTATCACGTAGCCATGTAATGTTTGGAAGCTTAGATAGAAAACTCCAACCTTAGAGGAAATAGACTAGCAGTTTCAACCCCGACTATTACATTAGAGTCTATGAAGCTCTTTTCTTGAATGATTTCAGTTGAATTTTCTAATTAAGTTTGACACACTGTATCTTAAGACCAATTTATATGAACTTCTGTCATGAAAACCGCCCAATGAATTAACCCTTTCGGGGGCCCACCGCGGCCAATCCAACGATTTGGATCAACAGTTTGTAAATACCTGTAATTGCGAACCGCTACACTGAAATGCGCTGGTGCACATCATGCATGTACCACATATGTTTCTTATTACTAACGGAACATCATCAAGCAGCAAAGGCAACTGTTGTTGAAGAAAATTATGGTAAGTCTGTCCGTCAAGTCGTCCCGGCAAGAAGAATGGGCTAATAAAGTGATTGCCAATAATTCCTGCTCATACGTTAACCGAAAAATGGTGTTGGAAATGGGTTTCGGTTACGGCATAGGGATTTTCTTCTGCCCACAAATGATTATTGTGGAAATTCTGAATGACATTTCGAGAAAAATTAGCTTCGTCCGTGAACACACTACCACTGACAAAAGGTCACACGCCTTGGAAAATCAATGGTAAGTAATGCCTGTCCTCTTAAAATAAGGATATAACTAAAAAATCCACTAAAAGTCTCCAAACAATTTGATGGCAAATATTTAAGTGTCTAGCGATCTTCCTCGTACTGGTTTCAGGATGTTCTTCGACTTCGTGCAGCAGTGCTTCCTCAATTTCAGGTGTTCTTACACTCAGAGGTCTACCTTCAGATCTTCCTTTTCGGACAGAACCAGTTTCAACAAGACGACGATGAATATTAGAATAGGTTCGACTATCTAGCAAAACACGATCGGGATATCTCTGGTGATAAATACGTCTGGCTTGCTCACCATTACCGTTGTCAAGGCCATATACGTAATGCATTTCCGCCATTTCTGCATTTGAATAATTCACCATTATTAGCAAGATTGTAAAAACTAAATAATGAAAAAGATATCACAGCAAACAGATTTGAATAACAGAGACTTGTCAGATGTCAAAAGCCAGTGACATATTCCAGAGCAACTAGATATTTATTGCTAAATTGCATTCTTCAATTATTACATTAATTTTCTCGGACAATAGAACGGTTTTTATTTTTTAATTCAAAAATGGCGCATCAAAGGAAAACAGTTCAAGAGAGCTAATTTGTTTCATATTGAACGGAGAATTCAAAAATAGCTTGTATTTGGCAAAAAACCATTGGCGTACCATTTTTTTCTTAAAAATATCGAAGTCAATCCCCGTACGCACGCCACGGTTAAAGCTAAAAATTATTTTTGCATTGAAAAATATGCAACTTTATTAACTTTCACTTTGTACTGAATATCAGTGAAATATCTGAAGCGGTTCTGAAAACATTAATTAATTTTTTTTCCTAAAACTTCAACACCTCGTGTTTTTTCAAGGATACATTTTTGACCATAGTTTATAAAGCAAACTAACATTAATTTTTCATGTCGACTCACACCCTTAAATGTTCGCATATCAGTAAGGAACACCCTGTATATCAAGCAGAATTGAGTATTTGATATGATCAAAGTGTAAGTAGTCCAAAATCAACTAAAATCACTTCATTCGTATACGAGTATGAATTACCAACAAATATTAGGATACTCCGAAAAAATCAAAAAGTTGGAATTAGCTGAAACTACGGAAATTTATCAGCATTAAGACTGCTTATACTCAGAAATGTATCCGAAGTAATTCTTGTGCTGATATAACAAAACTGCTGATCCACAAGAAACTTATGACGCTAGACTTCCACAATATCTTACTAGTTATAATTAAAAGAAATCTTGCACAAGGAAAACGTGTCCTTTTGAGGACATATATAAATTTTGGCATCAATTGGCTGGAGTGATCGTATCTCTTCATTGAAAAAAAGAAATTAATTTTATAGCAATTTCGCAGTAATATCTTTCCTGCATATTAATGTTTTAGCGAATTCAGATAAAGCTGGATTCTCTACCTCCACCATTCTATTCATTTCCAATAGAATCTTATGAAATGGCAGATATCAATTTAACAATCGAAATCGAATAAAAGCAGCATTAACTCCAAATTCTAATTAAAACCGTAAACAAGTGCCGATTGTCGATTGAAAGCTCCCCTTCCCTCTGTTTGCAGTTATATACCAAAACAGATGACAGTGCCGTAGTATAAGCAGATGGGAAATGACGTATTTTCTAATATTTTTGATTCAGGCGGATTACCGGTCTTTAATAAGAGAGAAAATTTACCTCCAAGGTTCAAGCGTAAGTTTTACGGTAAAGCTGACGTAATAGGGTTTTTCATGCCTTTTTTCCTGATTTGGTACGACATATGTTAATTTGTAAAAGTTCAATGAATGGGTGGATATAGCCACAAAATACGAAAAGTACATGTATATGTATAGAAAAACTTTAGAAAATAACAGCGGATGTCCGATAGGATCGTTCCAAAAAAAAAGCCTGGCGGTGTTTCAAAGATGGCTTTTGCGTTAATTTAGAACATCTTTCCCGTCGTCCAATAATAATTGAATATGATACTTTTGAAGACTAAGACCTCCTACAGTTCGAATAATGTAGGAAGAAAGCCACTCAAAAATGAGAAGACACCAGAGTCAAAAACAGTAAAGAGATTCTGTAAATAGTACTGTGACCTGTGATGTATATAATTGCAGTGCAATTATTGAGCCTGGTAAAAAGTATTGTAGTATTGTATTGAGAACTGCTTTGTATCCGCAGAGTTAGCCAAATTTGATAATTTTGATCTTGACCGGTATCCTAAATTCCGTGTGTTACCATTCATTAAATTCGAATCTTGCACTAAAATTAATGGTACCAAGAAATCATCACCTTTCAAATATGTGTTTTCTTGTCTATAATGTTACTATCATCTGCTTCTTTTTGCTAACAAGAAGCTTGTCCTGTTCTTTCCACCAAACTAGAATCACTTGTAGCAATTGTATTTGAAATTACAGGAAACATCACTTGTACTTTTATGGAACATAAACATCCAGTTTTGTAACTTGCAAAATATGGAATAGTAGTGGTATACTGCGACTGAAAGTTGGACGGAATACAATATCGCGTATTAGTACAAGATACAAGTGAATTCACTTGTAAATATTATACCATACTTTTTATGAAATAGGTCCCTGATATTTAGCATAAAAATGGCGTCAAACAGGTTGACTCTGAACTTAATACGAACGCTGATATCGTAAATGATTCAGGGCCGTATAGTCAGTCGTCCGAAGGAGGACGCCTTTATGACCTCCTTGATTTTCTTGACCTTTTCTCTACTTCAGAAAGGCTGGGGTATTTCTAGATTTCTACTGTTCCGTGTCAGCATCAGCGCTCTCTTATTGTGAAGTTATGTTTTCTTTTTGAATAAAACCAAGGAGGCCATAAAGGCGTCCAACAATAAATTGTAGCAGCGACTGACGATACGGCCCTAAGTTTGGGGCAATTTAAATTCTTGAGAATAAGGTT